TGACTTCAGACCAGTAGCACTGATGTCACACATTATGAAGACCTTTGAACAGCTGCTGCTCCATGTCCTCAGACCCCAGGTCCACCATTCACAAGATCCACAGCAGTTTGGATACAAGGAGAAGGTGGGCGTAAAGGATGCCATCCTCTATCTGCTCCACAGGGCCCACTCTCATCTGGACAAGGAGAGCAGCGCTGTGAGAATCGCATTTTTGATTTCTCCAGTGCCTTCAACACCATCTGTCCACTCATGCTGACAGACAAGCTGACAGAGATGAGGGTGGACCCACTCCTGGTGACATGGATTACGGACTACCTCACCTTCAGACTGAAGGGCTGCATGTCAGACACTGTGGTCAGCAGCACCGGAGCACCACAGGGGACTGTGCTCTCTCCCGTCATTTTCACCGTGTACACATCCGACTTCCAGTACAACTCCGGGCTCTGCCACATGCAGAAATACTCGGACGATACTGCGATAGTCGGCTGTATCAAGGATGGACGGGAGGGGGAGTACAGGAGCCTGGTCGAGGACTTCGTGAGGTGGTGCAGGTCCAACCATCTGCAGCTGAACACCTCCAAGACCAAGGAGATGGTGGTGGACTTCAGAAGGAAGAAACCACATCTCCAACCCGTGTCCATCGAGGGGGTCGATGTGGAGGTTGTCAGGACCTTTTAATATCTGGGGCTGTTGCTGGACGACAAGCTGGACTGGACAGCAAATATGGACATTTTACATAGGAAAGGGCAGAGCCATCTGTACTTCCTGAGAAGGCTGGGGTCCTTCAACATCAGCAAAAAAACTACTGCAGATGTTATACCAGTCTGTGGTGGCCAGCGTGCTCTTTTATGCTGTGGTTTGCTGGGGAGGAAGCAGCAAGAAGAGAGACACCGGTCGACTGGACAGACTGGTGAGGAGAGCTGGCTGAGTAGTGTGCAGCGAGCTGGACTCTGGACTGGTGACAGTGGCAATAAGAAGGACCCTGGACAAACTGCTGTCCATACTGGACAACACCCACCACCCTCTGCACAACACCTTCACCAGGCAGGGGAATGTGTTCAGTGGCAGACTGCTGTCCCAGTCCAGCTCCACCAACAGACTCGAAAACTCTTTCGTCCCCCTGGCCATCAGACTGTACAACAGCTCTCAGTAAAGGCAGGGAGGACAATAGACAATGGACAATTTCTACCTGTCTTTGCACATCCATTTACACTCCACTCCATTTGCACTGTTTACTGTTTGCACTGTTTACTGTAGCTACTGTTAATTTAATATATTATATGTGTATATATATATATATACATACATATAATACTTTATATTTTATATTTTATTTTATTTTTAATTCTATTCTTAAGGTCAGGGTTTTTAATTTTAGTTTAATGTATGTTTTGTATGTTGTATGCTACTGGATACTTGAATTTCCCTCGGGATAAATAAAGTATCTATCTATCTAGATTGCAACCAAATAAATCCTGCTTACCTTCCAAGCATGTAACAGAAACTACAGTGGACGCAAAGGCCATATCTAGAGCCAGTGTTTAGTTTGTCTGTTCTGGGCTAGAGTAAACTGCACTGTATGAAGGTTTGATTTGAATGCTTCACCTTTTATTTAATCATTTAATCCTAAACTGTTAATGAAATTGAAGTCTTACTTTATATTAGCAGAGCAGACAGTTAACCCATGGGTAAGTGGACTGTTCTGGTTTAATACTATGTATGTTGTGTTTTTATCATTCAGTGAGTGAGCATGGTTAATGAAGAAATAGGAATTGCCTGTTATAAATGTAATGGCCTTGCGGATCATAAAACATGGAGTAAAAAAAAGGGGGGAAAGTTGAAATAATCTGGAAAAATTGGATGGCCAAATTTATTTTTCACATGGTCTGGGAAATTGAAAAGGTGTTACAATTATCTTCAGAGGGAATTTAATTTTCAGTTGTGTTCCATATGCACAGATTTAGGGAAGTTGGTTACTCTGGAATTTAATAATTTGGAGAGAAAAGTTGTGCATTATGAGTGCAATATAGAAGGCCCGCATATTCTGAATAAACATTTAGTTAATTTAATAAGTTGGATATAGAGAGGTAAATTATTATGGTGGATGACTTTTTTTTTTTTATCTCAAAAGTAATTGTTGTAAAGAGTAGAGGATAAATTACAGTCTGACCATAATTCTATTGCGTTAAATCAGGGGCCTCAAACTGCCAGCCTGCAGGCTATCTCCAGCCCTCCATCCCCCTCCCTCCAGCCCACAGCATGATGATAAAAACACATTTCTATTTTTAAAAAATGTATTTTGTTTGCCACAAAATAATGGTCAAAGGAAGAGAGCATCTTTCCGGCCTTCGTTTGTTGTTTGGATGAACAACAAAGATGATTTGTTCAACATTTATATGTGGAGTATAATGGAATTCTGAATATTGCACTTTCTTGTAGTACTTGAACATTGCAGTGGCCCTTTTTTGACAATACAATACCAGCGGTTCTAGACCCCTGGGTTAAATCATAAATATTGTGGACCAGGATATTGGTAGTTTAACTTCAGGTAGTCTTCTTCAAGATGATTATTCTGTTGGCTAAGAGTGTCATTAATGATTTCTTCTGCACACAATAACTCAACTAATCTGGAAAGTATTCATATGTAGGCTTAGAGGAAATGTATACTCTTCTTGGAGAAACATCAACAAAAAATACAAAAATTTAAGAACAAACTCTGGCAGCAGAAGCTGAACAGCTGATTCTAAATATTGATATTCCGGCTGATGCAGCTAGACATCAGCTAAATAATTTGCAAAGTACAAAAAATGTATTTAATCATTTAGCGTAAGATCGACCGCTAAGAAGTTATGATTATAAAATGGCAAAGTAGATTGAGAAATGGAGAAAACTTTTCTTGAGCATTCAGCATACAAATCATTCTGAAAAAAGTTTTCAAAATTAGTTTTGAACAATGGAATAATATTGTTTAAATCTACAGATTTTTTAAATGAGACAGATTGTTATTTAATCACCACCTACTCTGCTCAGCTCTCATAAAGTTTCCCACGACATTTTTAAGTTAACTATCCCCTCTAGGTATGTATTATATTATAACATATACAAACTGTTTGGGACAATAATGTGCGTCTGATATGCCCCCCCCCCAGAAAAGTCTAATTTCCACATTAAATACCTTAAAAAGTAATCTCCTCCTTCTACCTCATTAAAACTTCCAGAATCTCTGAATATGCAAATGTTGTTAATTTCTAAAGTTTCCTGCTGGACACAAGATGTCTCCTACTTCACTGTAAAGTCCATTCTCAGTGGATGTGCACCGGTGGCTTTAAGTTTCTACATCACACTGTACAAGTTGATACTGGACCAGGACTGACTTCCAAACTATTTGTGATGTCACAAATCATGCTGGTAGGCCCCGCCCCTTAAAATCAGATATTCAATGAGCACAGAGAAACTTTCCACTTTCAGCAGATGAATGTGAAAACATCCTTCTAGTGTCAAACTCTGCACAGACATTATTCAAACAGCACACTGTAGGAATAAGAAGAAACACTGATTTCTGACTGGCGGGGGCTTTACGTAAAAAAAACATGAAATGTAGAATTTAAAATATCCATATAATAATTCTTCATTCCTTGTTTATATCCTTTTATGTTTTGTTACTTATTTAGGTTGTTAGGCCTGCTGATATATGGTGTGTGTGTGTGTGTGTGTGTGTGTGTGTGTGTGTGTGTGTGTGTGTGTGTGTGTGTGTGTGTTTAGTGTTTATCAGGATGTATGGGTTTAATTTAGTATTTAGGTATTTTTTTGTGTGACTTTGGTGTTGTGTTTGTCCTGGGTTTACTGTTTTGTTTGTTTTCTGGGGATTTATGTCATGTTTTTATTTTGGCACCGTGCCTGCATATTAAACTTTACAGGGCCTAGCATTTCTATATTGCTTGTCATGTGTTGTTAAGACTGGCCCCTCTCTATTAAAGCCTTCATCGCGCCACTTTATTCGAGTGTGTGGGTACATCTGGCTAACGTATTTGGCATCCTTTGCACATTCTGGCTCAAACACCTAACATGAGACCTAAAAACCCTTCGGCACCGAGCCTGCCTGGCACCCGCTCCTCTGGGAAAGCGGGGCTGGGAGAACAGGCTGTGAATAAGGACAGGCTGCAGAGCTTGATGTGTGTGTGAGAGATGGTGACCCTTGCTCTACTTACTGTTGGTTGCTTGTAATGTTGGTGATCCAGGAATTTAAGCCTCTTCTGCTATTCTGTAAGTAGCTGTAAGTGGTTGTGCGTCACGCTGCAGACATGTGCGAGCTAAATGCCTGAAATGCAAATGTGAATGTGGCTCCAGTTCCACAGTGAATAAACCAGATCCCGCAGAGGAGACTGTGTTAGGAGGGTCCTGTTCTGCAATCCTAATCCCTCCTAATGTAGTAATGACTGAAAATGACAAGTGTTATTTCTTTATTAACTATTAGCTTTAATAGCTCGTTAGTCCTAAAAACACATTTTTAACAATACAGCTTCAAAGCTCTATATTTGTGTTTTTGCATAAATAGCATCTATAACTGCAGATCCTTTTTGAAGGTATATCACAATGTATTAGAATATGTATTTTTGAATGTTTAGTCACTGTGCCTAACTTCACTTCTTCCCCGGAGTTCTTGTGCTTTCTCGTCTCGCAGGTTCTCATGGATCCTGGTGGAGCCTCCTGCCATGGTCCTGCTTGACTACAATTGCTAATATCACTGATATTAGTGTTATTAATATTATTGCTATTATAGCTACGGTTACTGTTGTTGCTGTTGTCACTGCTCATTGTCCCCTATCGTTGCTGTTGTCATGTTCATCATCATCAGTCACTACTATTAGTGTAGTTGTTGCTACTGTTGTTGCTGTGCACCTGTCTGTCTGTCTGTCTCTCCCTCTCTCTCTCTCTCTCTCTCTCTCTCTCTCTCTCTCTCTCTCTTTCACCCCAACTGGTCAAGACAAACGACCACCCACCTAGAGCCGAAGGATCTGTCCTAGGTTTCTGCCTTTTAACAGGCAGTTTTTCCTTGCCCTTGTCTCCAAGTGCTTGCTCATGGTGGTACTGTTGGGTCTCTGTAAATAATGTTATAAGGAGTTCGGTCTAGACCTGCTCTATTTGGAAAGTGTCCTGAGATAACTTCTGTTATGAATTGGCGCTATACAAATAAAATTGAATTGAATTGAATTGAATTGAATTGAATTGAATTGAATTGAATTGAATTGAATTGAATTGCCCATTAATTTGACATCATTTTGAAAAGCTTTGAAAATACAATTTGAAGTAGAATTTTTGACCAGATTTTTGAGCCACACAACACATTTTTACACACAGGGATTGTTGATTAACTGCTCACGAACGGCCACTGGACAAAGAGTCAATGCACCAAAATCAGTGCTTTTTTTAATCACTGTGTCTGCGTGAAGTGACATCTTAATGTGCCATGGCGACACAACGTACTCCTTAAATGAAAAACATAAATCAAAAACACTTAGATATAATACTATCAAAATACAACATTTACACATGATCGTTTAAACTATTTGTTCGCTGACATGTAATTTAAGTTTTACATTTCCTGTTATATTTAGTTTCAATATACACCTGCTCCGTTGTTGTGGCATACATTCATGCATGCTACTTGCATGAATGTATGTAATCATACATCCATTATTACGTAGGAGCTAAAACGTGATGGTAAGATAGTAAGCCTAGGTAAAAAATAATAGTTCACAAACACTGCAATTGTGGCTCCAAACGGGTGGACCAGGAGGACCCCCTTCTGCTAAATTAAATAAATAAATCGTCTTATTAGGAATAAACCTGTTTGCGTGAAATCATAATGGTGGTACTTGGAAAGCCTAATATTTTTTGAGGTGGTATTGACTTAAATGATTAATCAACATTAATTTCCTGACAATTGACTGATCATTTCAAAGGTCCAGTGTGTAGGATTTAGTGACATCTAGCGGCAAAGTTTCAGATTGCAACTAACTGAACACCACTGGTGTGTAGGAGAAACTACAGTGGCCATGAAACTTGCAAAAAACATGAAACTAGAGCCAGTATTTGGTTTGTCCGTTCTGGGCTACTGTAGAAACCTCTGTAGATAAAAACAGCCCATTCTAAGGAAACGATTGGAAACCTTTGTCTTCCTCTAAGTTATATAATGACCTAGTATGAAATAAAATATGCAAGAACAATGGTATGATCCTTTAAAGGTAATAACTTGTCCTTTATTTGTACTAATAATAATATTAAAAGGTGAGTATAAGGTGAGAGGTCAGATGTGGATTGATGGCTGACATCTGTCTCATGGTAAACTCAGACAGGCTGGCAGTAGTGTTTGAGACAGACCAAAGTAGATCGAGTCAGCTTTAAAAAAAAACAACAATCATATATATTGTGAAGCCATCGAAACCTTCCCTGTCTACTCTGGAAAAATCCTTAATGCACAGTTTATTGTCCTTAGAATAACAGTTTCTGGGAAAATAAAAACACAAGCACCCATTAACACACAGTAAAATCTCAGTTATGAGCCTGTTGTGTTATTTCTCTGTCATGCTTGCCAAGGCTCTTCCTTTCCCTGCAATTACTGGATTGAATTCACATCACACATTAACATGAAGCAGGCGGCCAAATATGTTTTCTCCCAACACTGATAATTTATAGCCTGAACTATGTTTTGTCCTTATATTGGACAGAGATGCAGTTTCAGCCAGCCTTGGCCAACACATCCATATGTTAGTCTGACCTGATTGATTTCCTGGAGTGCGTGCTCCAAACACACACTTTATATCCAACATGCAGACAGACCTGTAGAGATGTGGTTAGTGCTCCGGATGGATTTTGTCGCTTGCAATGTGTTTCAAACGCCTCACACCATTGCAGAGATAATTACAGAGTCTTTATGCTGGAAGGAACTTTTTTTATGTACCATTTCTAATTATGCACTGCAGGGGAAGTTAAGGTCTGCTTTTCATAATTCATGTTTTGCTTACAAAGTGTAAAGACTGCTATTCTCCAGACCTCTCCCTTCACCTACCAACCACCCACACACCCACCGCCATCCCTTGTTAAACTTCCGTGTTGGATTGTAAAGTGATAGTTTTAAGTGGAAAAATCTTCCCACCTTTATGAGCCATGAGAAAATGTAGCACATTTTGCTCCAGCAGAGTGAGGAAAAGGCTGCTCATGAAAACAGATTTTTTATGATTACACTTTCGGGAAGGCTGTCAGTGACTATCGCTCTCAGCTTTGGCACAGATGCTTATTTTAAGTGATCGGGGAGCGTTTTTTTTTTTTTTTTTTAGTGCCACATTTGGTGAAAATGGTCCTCATGAAACGGGATAATCATAAAATGTAATATGCACAGATAGCAAGCCTGCACGCACACACACACACACACACACACACACACACACACACACACACACACTTCCTGCTGTGATGTATGACACAGACACTTTTTCACTGTATGGAATGAGCATGACAGTGAGTCAATCACTTTTTAACCCATTAATGACTATATTTAGTATGTTATGAAAAGCCTCACTGATTTCTTGGATACAAAATTGCTGTGGAAACTGTCAGGACATGTGGCTACACATATCAAAATTAACATTTTTGATTTCACATATTTATCATGCCTTAATTGGTAGACAAAGTTGATTTTCTTATAAAAAGAGACAAAAATAATGTTAACATTCATTTAACATGGCAAATATCAGATTTACACTGGATCAAAGCATATGTTATTGAAATTGTTTTGAACCCAACTCACAACTTTTGAGATACATAAAGTTATACAATTCCACTGCGGACATTAATGGGTTAAGTTTCAAAGCATGGCTTGCCTGCAGGTCAGATCTGATCTGCAGGAGGACTATTAGGACTGATATCTGGACCTGATGAAGGTCTGGTTGTGTAGGGGCACTTATCCTCTCACACTTTGATATTGTGATTGATTGATTGAATATAAAATGGAGTCTTATGACTCCAACAACAATCTGCATTTCAGAGGCAGAATTCGGTGTTCCCACTTTCCTAAACCTGCTTTGCACACTTTTTCACTTATAGTGACTTCCTACATTTCCTAGATTGCACAGTGGCACTGAGAACTCAATGCAAATTGGTGTTGAAACACCAGCCACATCCGTATGTTCTTTTCCTGTCTAGTTTTGCAGCAAAATTGGACTGAAATAAGTTATGGACTGCTTTTTTCAGTGCACACAGACTCCTTTTGGGGGCTGAGCAGTTATGACTTGGTAGAACACCAAAGTATCTCTTCAGTATTTTAAGAACAGCAGCACTTCAGCGGATAGCAAAACACTGTCTGAAACCAGAGCTGCCACAGCTGAGTAAAAGGAAGGACACAATTAACAAAATCTATGAAATGGAATCTAGCTAATACGCGATGGAATAGGATACAGAAAACCAATTATATTAATTTTGATAACTGATATAAATAAGAAAATATATACTTATACCCTTAGCAATTTAATTCACCTTATTGTTACTTTTTGTATTTATTATTTTTATTCTGTTTCCCTATTATTTAGTTCGAGAGGTTCGTGGGTTGTGGTGGGAGGGATATACAGTAACTATTAGCATATGAAGTAGCTTGTTGCTTGTCTGTAAGTAACTACTGTAAGGGGTCACAATTTAACAAATTAAGAGCATAGAAAAAGAGAACTCAACGCACAGCAGCATATGAAAACACACAAATAAAATTAAAAAAAACAAGCAAATTAGGAAAAACATCTTCACCAATTTCAGTGCAGTTTTTAGAAAAATTAGAAAGCCAAATACAGAAAGCATCCACAAAAACAGGGCTTTTAGTGTTGTGGGGGCATGTAACGGCAGGTGATATTAGTACCAATGCTGCCAAGAATAAAATAGTATAGTATAGTAAATATAAATGATAAAAGTGAAGAATGAGAAGAAATAGAAGCCCCTCTCATCATTTTTGTTAGAAAAATCTTTAAGCCTTTATCAGACATTTTCAGTGTTAACACCAACTTTTTCACCCCACCTAGGTGGGAAACAAAATAAACGTGCATTTAACAGGTGAGCGGTTCTGAGCAAGGATGTGAAAACACAAGACGTAGAAATGCATGAATATCAGAGTGGATTCTAGTTTTAGGACAGATTTATATACATGCAGCACAACTTCTCAGTGGCTCGGCTTAACTGCAATTCCACTCATAGCTCTGGTTTAGAGGCGTCACTGTACCGCAGATCCCTTTGACCAATCAGAGCAATGCACCACTGTGTGTCAGTCCACGAAGACTGAACACTCAGAGTCAGAAATTGTGTTGGAAAAGTATTATAATTGGTAGTGCTCACATGGCCGAGGACAACACGGACGAGAATGTGCAGAAGCAGCCCAGCAAGAGCAGTGCAGTCCGTATCATTACAGCGGACCAGCAGCCCCCTCCCGTCGTACACACAAATATCCACCTGACAACATCCATTGAAAAAGTTCATTCATGTTAAGCGTTGGCAGATCGATACTAGTGTCAATAGGATCAATACCCCCCCAAAAAATGGATCCATATGTTATGGCATCCTGGGCACATGAACATCTTCTGAGCGCTGCACAATTTAAATCTCTGCTGCTGTTGTGTGTGCATGCAAGCAGTAATCATTGATAATGAACATAATAATAATAATTAAAAGAAATGTGTCATGTTAGGCTAATTATTTTCTGGTAATATATTCAGAATAGTAGTTAATTATGACATATGCCACATAATAGCACATTAGCTGCTTTTAACAATAAAAGGTATTGATATTGGTGTTGATATCAGTGAACCTGGCATTGGTATTACTTGGTATCAGGTATTATAGTGGAATGGTGTGCCTTATCTTAGGAGGCGTAAATAACAGTATTTCACTGTAGCGGCTGATATTTCTCACTCGCTTTTAAAAAAAGTTTCACACGATACTGCTGGTCTAAACTGACATTTTATATAAACAGGGACGAACTGTGGCTTATTTTAATATGCAAACTTAAGCAGGATGTTGGATTATTGTCGGTTTAACAGCTAAGAACTGTGGCCTGAGGGTACCTGGGAGCCACTGAGTAGCCTATGAGGTGCCCACAGAGCATGTTCTGTAATATCAATCTTAAATATTTTTTTCCATAACACTTTCGAAGAAGTACATTTAAATACATAACTGATGCGTTTTTATGAATTAAAAAAGTATTATTTTATTATATATATTCTGAGTTATTCTGCCCTTCTGCATTTGGAGTTCTTTGTCGGTCCCAAATGGAGGCCTAAGCTCTTGCCCATATCTATGAGTTGCACCAATTAATTGGTTTTCTTTGATTTGTCATACTGTATCAGCATTGCCTTCAGTGTTAAAACCACTTCCACGCCCACAATTCCAAATCACATTGGGTCAGTGCTCTGTGTAAATGACATATATGTGTAGTTCAGATCAGATCAAGAGGTTTGTTAAAAGATTTATGTGACATATCTGAAATGTTGTGAACCCACATTTTGGTAAATAATTGCTGCATTTTAGGTAAATACGAGATCTTGAGCTTTAAAACGTTGTTGAGTTTCATTAAAGACAGAAGACAAAGACAGAGCTAGAGCAGATCCACCTGAGCAGCTTCCAGTGGCATTTGCAAAGTTCCGTTGTGTGAAACATCTTTTGCTTTTGCTGTGAGTCTGGTCCTGGAACTTGCTTCAGTTTAAATGTTCACCTCTTTTGAGAAAGCTACCAAATCTTAGTCATCAACAAACTTGTATAGATTTTTAAATGCGATGCCTTTAAATGTGTGTTTTATGTTTCTTTTTACCGTTCGTTTACCCTCTTTTTACGTCTTATTTTCATAAAAGCCCTTCTCGGGTGTTGCGAATCAGCATACGCTATAGATATTATGATAGCTGGATAGCTGTTTTCTGCCTGTCCACGTTTACTGTATCTGCCCCTATCAAATAAATCATAAATAAATAAATAAATAAATAAATAAATAACTCACTACCTGAGTTGAAAAAGTAAGAATTCTTTGTCATCTGACCTGTGTTTGACCAACAGCACGTTAAACTGAAAGAATAGCTGGTGCACAGTCGGTCTGAACTCTGTTTAAATCCTGTTCTTGACAACGTGAGGAACAGGATTCTAGCGGGTAAAAAAGTTAGGAACATGACAAGGAGAGTAATTAGTTTGCCATACTCGGACCAGAACACACACACGCACGAGAATTAGAGGTCATCAACCCCCCACTGGTCACCGTCGACTTCTGAGAGCAGCAAGTGAGATCAAATGGACTGTAAGGCACATGGCAGTCGGAGGATATTTTAACCTGTGTTTAATCTCAGATTTTCCAAAAAAAAGAATTTTTTACAATCCTTCTAACAGTGACTCTTGTACAACAACATAAATACTGTGCTGGAAAAAGAGAATTTCCAAAAATTAAGCAGTTTTTTCCCCCCGCAGTCTCTCTCTGTAAACATTGAAAAATGCAAATCAAGTCTCCTCAGTTCTCGACAAGACAACAACATCAAAATAACAACAACTGTTCCATCTGTAAGGCTTGGCCGCCTCACTATGCAAATAGTCTCTAATGGGCTCAGAGTGAAATGAAATCTTTTTTTTTTATGTTTCCATTACCTTCTCTTTACTAATCCGTTTAATGTTCGAAGGACTCAACAGTGCTCAGTTTTAGATCCAGGAGGGGTTGGGGGGAGGGATGCGGTGAAAGAGGGCTCCGTCCATCAGAAGAGGCTGGTCAGCGTGGTCTGTGACGGGCTCCGGCACTCGTGGACGTCCATGCCGCCCGGCACTGAGGTGAGAACGGAGGTGACGGTGGGCATGGTGGGGTTGGTCAAGTCTGTCAGGGTGGTGGGCGTGCTGGAGGGGCTCATGGAGGCGTTTGAGATCTCCGAGGCTGGGCCCGACGGCGTCCCGCCCTGCAGCGTGGAGCCGTCGGACGCCTTGTCCACCCCGGTGCTCTCCTGCCGCAGCAGGTTCCTCCTGAATTTGGCCCGAGCATTTTGGAACCAGACCTGTGGAAATAAAATGAATCCCCTGAAGTTAACTAATGCTTCATGGAACCTTTGAGCACAGGTTTCCACATTTCTGATAATACTTCTGATTGTGTGTTCAGCTAACAACAAACTAACATACAAACATTTAGCAGGCGCTTTAAAGGGCTAGTCCACCCACCATGCTGCAAAATTATTAGTAATTAGGTATCTTATATATTTAAGGAGCATTTGATCTCACGAAAATAAAACAGCATAAACACATTTAACACAATTAATCATTTTAAAAAAGTTTCACTAGAAATTCAAGTTCTAAGCCTGGTGGCACACCTTTGGCTCGCAGGCCCCTTTTTGGGCAGCCCTGCTCTAGCTCATGCTTTCTCTGCTGGTGGGTCGGGACCCAAAAGTGGGCCTCGTTGTGAGTTTGTGGTCAAAAAAATTAATCCAAATGCTTGGATGTCGAACTTTTATTTTGACAGAAAAGCTTCCTTCTATGTTAAGTGACCGCCATTTTTGTAGGCCTAACTTATTTTGTGTGTACACAGTTAATTCACATTCATAAGAATCACCAGCATGTAGCTGTGATGTTTAATTTAATATTAAAGTTATGTGCTCTGTTTACAGGGATGAAAATATTTGTATATGTTGAGGATGGCATTGTGTTTACTAGCCTATTTGAAAAATACATTTGCGTTGCGTTCCAAAGTGAGACCCACTGCTCTAGATAACCCACAGGGACTATTTCTTTGGTAGAAAGTAGTTCCAATGATAATTGTCCACTGCAAGGGTGTGGATTATGAAGAGCAACCAGGATGTGTTAATGCTGAATTATATGGATGTGATTTATCACTGCACAAACAACATTGGACTGTAGATAAATACCTGAATACTGAGCACACTTGTGCAAAAACAAAAAAGAATTTTGATCATTTGATAACACTGCCAACCATTCTCTGAAGCGCACTATAAGACTGTTTTCCTACCAGGCATCGGTTTCATTTCCATACACATTAAACACTCTGTATGGATATGAAGTTTCTTACAAAAATGTAATTTGTCACAATGAACACAGAGAACATCATGTCTGCTTTTATTCTTGTTAAGTTTTTGCAGCGTGATAGCACAGTGCAGGCTTTTCAACTCATGACTACATCGCCACACAACCAAAATAGAAGTGACGCTAATAAAAGCAGACACGATGTTCACTCTGATAGGTTACCTACTGGGTGTCAAGCATTTTCCAGTCTCTATAATGTTTTATACTGTGGTAAAAAATGAATGGTGACCTATGACTGCCGGAGACAGACTTTGTGTTGGTGAAGATAGCTGAGACTGTCCTCCTCAGAAAAAAACACTGCAGGCACCCAGTTAGCTCAGTGGGTAGAGCTGGCGACCTGTGTACTGAGGCTGAGTCCTTGCTGCAGCGGCCCAGGGTTCGAATCTGACCTGCGGCCCTTTGCTACGTGTCATCCCCTCTCTCTGCCCCCCTTTCCTGTCTATCTTCAGCTGTCACTGTCATAAAGCCCAGAAAAATACTTTTTAAAGAAAAAAACACAGCATCAGCCATTTGTTCTAGTGCTTAAATACCTTTACGTTTCCCTGACGAGGACCTTTAGCAGCTATGTTAGCAATGAAGACAGAAGTAGTGTGACCTTGTTATAACATTGCTGCCTTTCAACCATGACCACAGTCAATCCCTAACCCTACCACGATTTTAATATATTTTTATATGAACAATGGCTATGTGAAAGGGGTCACTCATAGTAAAAAATTAGAAGTTCCCCTCAGCTCTACGGAGCCTTAAGCATCTTTTAGCCTTAACCCTGTTTTGGTTTTCTGGCCTGCAACTTTTGTTTTGGTTCACTATGCTCTCATTAGGACCGTTTTCAATGATAACATCTGATGAACCCACCATACGCTACCTGCCCACCATCAAACAGCAGACAGACACAGTTAGTGTAGCATACATAGTTTAGCAGCTAAACACCCAGGAGTTGGTGGAGACCAAAATCGGAGCTAAAACAAGAGCGAACAGTGGACTCACACTTATCATGACACCAGAAACACAACCTAAAATGCTAATGTTTTACTGTATATGCTAGATGTGTAAATAAGCAACTGTTTGTTAGCGCATTAGCCAAATCAAAATTTACCTTTCCAAACCAAAGATGATTTGGGCCTAAACCTAATCAACCCTAGCTGTAACAGATGTGGAAACTGTTTTGTAAGGTCCTGACATACAATACGATCCACAAGTACCCTTTCTTATTACTGGGTACCACCACCTCTGAGGTTTTTTCCGAGGGGTGAACTAAAAATAACTCCTGTGATGCTTTGACCCCCAACAGTCCAGTTCAGGCCCTGCATATAGGAGGTTTTTAAAGCAAATGACAAATGACAAATTTTGTTGCTGATTTTGGGGGACCTGAGAAACTTTGTGGGCTCAAATATGCACAATTTATTTATCTATATAAATTAATACAGATTTTTCATTTTGATGCCACAGAACCCCAAGCGGACCCACATCAACATCTTCACCTCCACCATGCCCCCTCCCTATACCCCCCCCCCTTGCTGTTAGTACAGAGCACACACACCACTGAGCATCTCTTCGCGTCTGTTTAAAGTCTGTTTGCAGATGCTCAGACTGGAGTCAAGGATAAAAGAACACTTAAAAACACAAAGCCAGGGCGCTTCTCTACTGTGTACAGAAGTTATAAAAAAAGCCTTTACTTTTCACGGCTAGTCGCAGAAAAAAGGCAGTGGTAGCCGCAGAAAAATAAAACCTTTTCTTTCATGTTTGCACGGGAAAATAGAGAGTCTTGGCTTCCTGCTTTCGTTGGTTCTGTGAAAAGATAATGGACCTCCCTGTGCTGAGAGAGGCAGCTATGGTTCCAGTCATTATTCTCATATATGAAATGGCAATGAAACACTTTCTTTCTCATTTTTGCTATGGGTCCCATTCAAGAAGGCCCTGCACCCCAAATTCTGGAAGCAGCACCCTGCTCCTAAATGTCCCCGATGTTAATTTATTTTTAAACTGAATATGATGAATTTAATAAAAGCCTGAGGTGCAGTGATTGAGGCAGCGGCCTGTGTTAGCAGTGGAATCATGACGGAGCCATGGGAAACAGGCGCTTCAGCTGGAATAACAGGCATGAAAATTTGAACGCATCAAAGCAAAACGGCTGCTTTGTTTTCTGTGAGCGTTAATTAAAGCAGCGGGATGATTTTCCTTTTTTTTTTGCTCCCCCCCTTTCTCTGAAAAAAATTTGATTCAGAAACCTTTTTGTCTCGTTTTTCTTCTTCCCAGTCCCCCAGATAATTTGCTGTCGTCTTTTGTGGAAATCAAACGCTCCGTTGTGCCTTCTCTTTCTTCGTGTATACAGCAGAGCTTTGTTTTTTTCATCCCTCAGTCACTCACTATAACATCACAGCGGCCACTGAAATAGATTACATTTTGTGGGGGGGTTTATGGCTTTCTTTTCATTTCCAGGTAATTTTTGGATTCCAGTGTGAACAACACGTATTGACTTTTCACAGGTTGTTTCTGCTTCTTTTCAATGCAACTTTTTAAATTATTCTGTATAAATTGTGTTTTTATTTAAAATATCAAAGGAAAGAAAAACAAAGTTTCAGATTTCGCTCAGCTTGTTCCTGAAAGTCTAGAGAATTTCACCAGAATGAAAAACAGCACTATCTTAAAATAAAGCCGCTGATTTGGCTTCACTCAGGAAAACCTCACTTCATATATTTTGCATTTGGAAGCGGGCTGATTTGCATTGGAAACAAGTGGAATTCCTTCACCCCTGTTGGCACTCGTCCCCCCAACCCCTGCATGTTGTTACCTGCAAGACCCGCTTGGTGAGGCCTGTCTTCTGGGCAAGCTGCTTGAGGTCCTTGGCGTCTGGGTTGTGGTTGATGGCAAAGTAGGACTTCATGGTCCTCAGCTGGTGGTGCTTGAAGGACGTCCGCATTCGCTTGGTTTTCTGGCTGGAGCTGTACTGGGAGTCCCGGTCCATAGACTCGCCGTCGTTCTCGTTACAGCTCAGTGCTGCAGGGCCAATGGGGGGTAAGGGAATAGGAGAGAGGAGCTGGTTAGACAGAGGGGACTCTGATCCAATCACTGATCACTTTGATTTGTTTGGTTATTTGCTTCTGAATGGCTGTTTGTGTCGAACACTGCAAGGTTTTCCCTTCTCTTCCCGACCAAAAATCTCACAACCCCTGTGTTAGAGAAGCTCCCAGTGCATTGTATAGAACTGATATTCTGAATTTTAAAGCTATTGAGTGCACTTATTTTTAATATATTGGAGAAAAATCAATTTTTTATTGTTTATTTGTTGGTTTATTTAAGTGCACATTGATAAAACATTGCTGTTAACGTGCCAGAATTAGCCAAGAGCCAAAGTCACCCTAAAAAGAGAATATAGGATTGAATTTACAAAGTTACTGGATTCATTTATAAGCATGCAGAGAAGAAAAAGAAATCTTAATCTTAACTGAAACAACAAGCAAAGAAAAAAAATCAATGAATAAAATTAAGAAAAGCATATCAATTAAAGCAACATGAGGCCCAGACCCTGAAGTGCAACAATGCATGAGGAGAAAGGGAGACAATGCATATGTTTAAGTGCAATATACTGAATTATGACTAAGGCTGAAAATCAGTTGTTAGAAAATGTGTTTTTAGCATTTTCTGCTGTTGTTATTGTCATCTTGATTTTTAATTTCTTTAAAAAAAACTTCAACCCAGACCCATTTCCTTCATTTTACATCCTCACAATCAATCTGATCCAAGGTGACACTGCGACCTGACAGCTGTTTTTCTCCCAGCTGCAGATCACCCTCTCTGCCTGCCTGCATGTCTCTCTTTCCTAAGAGGAGGTGCTAGCCTGGCTTCAGCAACAACACACACGCACAACAACAACACACATGTATTTGTCCCAGCCTGCAAATTTCTTGGCAACATCCAAAGTGTTGCTGCATGCATAACAGTTCGCGTTCAATATCAGAGCGCTGCAAACGATGAATATGAAGTGAGTGAAAACCATCAGAATAACACTTCACTTAATTAGCCCATACACAACCAGGCAGAACAAATGCTGCTTTCTGTCCGGAGCATATGCTGCAGCATTTTAACAAACAAAAAATATCAGCCTGCTTCCTGCTCATCTCCTCATCCTCTCACAGAAAACGCCTTGCTCGCAGCCTCAGTGCCATCGCAGAGCTGCTCCAGGGTCTCCACATGTTCACATGTGATGGCTCAGGTGGAGCTTCGATGTTGTTTCCAGCTGGAAACAGAAGAGGGCGCACTGCCTCTTCACTCTCTCCCTGATTGTGCTTCACATTCATTTCCCTGTTTATTTACTGAACACACACACAGTGGGGAAAAAGCTAGTATTTTCAGACATTATGCTACCTTTCTTCCTTTTATCATCATTAAATGCTTTTAAAAGTTCAGAAGCTGTATTTTCTTATAACTAATAGGTGAAAACATTTGGCTTGTTTTAAGAGTTGTGTCATGAATTCCACTGATTCAGAAAGTAAAAGTGGCAGCATCTTAAAATGAAGAAAGTGATGCTTGTTCTTTCAAGGAAGAATCACTTCATCCAGGAAGAAAATAAGCGGACAGAATCTCATTTGAATTGCAAACTAATGGGAAATAATATTTTCACTTGTTGCAGCTCATTTAAAGTTAAAAAGTTTAGAGGAATGAGAATTAACGTAACAGATATAAGATATAAAACAGACAGAAAAAAAATATTTTCTTTCTCTGGCTAGATTCTGACGTAATGTTTTGTTTGTAATCAGCTTCATGTGAAAAACTGGAGGGTTAATTAACTGAAGCCAAAGCATTAAAGAGAAAAAACTCCAGCCGCAGACAGTTCTACTGTAAGAAAGTTCTTGTATCCCCTGCTCTCTCTTCCAGTGAATAACTCATCAAATCACATTGATCTCTCTGGTACACACCCAGTTTGGCTTGGTCCCAATGCAAAAAGGGCTCCAGTATAGTGTGTGTGTGTGTGTGTGTGTGTGTGTGTGTGTGTGTGTGTGTGTGTGTGTGTGTGTGTGTGTGTGTGTGTGTGTGTGTGTGTGTGTGTGTGGGTGGGGGAGGAAGGGAGAGGGAGGGTGTTAGGGGTTTGTAGATGTCTATGGAGCCTGACAAGTGGAAAAGGGCGAAAGCAAAAGCCGGAACATCAAAAAAACTTTTCTTTTTAAACCCCAAAGAGGACATGGGAGGGGAAAAAAGTATTTTTTTCCCCACAACAGATCCACTAAACTGAAACACGAAAAACTACCAGCTATTAAAACTGATTCGTTTTTTGTTTTAGATTATCATTTAGAAAGATGTTGTTAGGAGCGGCTGAACTGCTGCAGCTCATTGGCCTAATGAAATCTCTGTGAGGCTGCATGAGAAGTTCACTCCACGGGTAAGAACAGTTTGCAGTGTATGTGGCTGTATGGGCTGTGTGAGTGTGCTCACTTCACTTAATGATGTTATGCAGAGGCCTAGCTTTATTGACAACTCTCCCACTATAGTTGGCTTATTCGTGTTCATGCTGTTATTTCTGATCATAATGTGAAAGATAGGGCCACCAAAAACCAACCTACCAGGGATATTATTGGGGAAAATAAAGCATTGCACTAATGTCGCTATAAACTCAATATTTAGCGCCATACGTCTCTTTAAGGGTGTTAAAAATATATTATAGCAGGCCTGCCGTAATGTAATTGTGCTCAAGTTATGCTAAACTCCCTTTAGGAATATTATAAGAACATTAAACCGCAGGGGATAAAAGAACAACTGTACAGTTTTCTATGATAATGTTATGACATTAGCGAGGGTAACAGGCACAATACAAGCCCCTACAGGAATGTTAAAAAAGATTTTTCATTAATGAAGCCTGTCAGTTTTAATCATGCAGTTCATTACAACTGCTGGCCGAGATTTATTTCTCAACAGGCAGCGCTTATGCTTTATTTTTTTCGTTCAATTTTTCTTTTTCTGCGTTTTGGATCTAAAATTATTAATTTTGAGGTAAAAATAATCAAAACAGAAAGAAAAATAAGAGCACGTTGCTTTTTCTGAATCCTGTCCACCTTTTAACAGGCCTGTCAGCGGGGGAACATGCTTGTGTTTTTTTATATAGACATGCATTCTTACCTGCGTTATAAGCAGCCAGCTCGGCTCCCGGTCCGGGGCTTTTCCTCTTCCTGGGCCGGCCTTTCTGCACTGTCCCCACGCCGTTGAAGTAGGATAGTCCGAGAGTGTTGGCCGGGCCCAGGCCTTTGTGCGGGACAACGTCCGCGTGGTTAAAATGTGTCTGATATTCTCCCTGGATGAGAGTCTCAAAGTGCAGCCGACAGTACACCAGACTGTCCTTCATGCCAAAGTGGTCTCCGGTGGTGAGCATCTTGCTGCAGGTGGTGCACGTGAAGCAGTTGAGGTGGTAGACCAGGTCCCGGGCCCGCATCACCATCTCCGAGGCCGAGATGCCCAGGTGGCACCGAGCGCACCTCTGCACCGAAAATCTTCTGCGGACAACACAGAAACCTCATCAGCGGCTGGACACGGACTCACAGGGGCCTGCTGGTGCACTAAACTATGTGTGATGTACAACTTTTCCGCACTGGAAAACGGCGCAAAGTTTCCCTTGCGCATTAATAATGAGATGAACTCACATGAAAACTTAGTTAGACACCAATTAGCTAATATTGGAATTAATGGGATATGGATATTAGCCATATAGGCGGTTAAATGTGGAATTTGTGATATTGTTACCTTTATAATTGAATAATAACTCTGTCAGTGATGGGGGGGGGGATACTCCCCTACAGAGCTGCTAAACTTAAAAGTATCTTTTTTTAAATCTGGGTTTGAGTGGAGAGTTTTAGTAACTGTAGACAGTGTCCTCTTTTTCTTTCTTTTTTTCTTTCTTTCTTTCTTTCTTACTGGTGTTTTGCTGACAGAAACGTGAATGTGATCTGGCATGAAAACAGTAAAATATACTATATATATAGGCTATATATGGTGACACAAAATACTAGCTGTCATTAGTGTAAAATGTCAGCATCAGTTTGTACGCAGCCATATTATCAGGAAAGAAGCTTTGACAAAGAAATACTGTATAAATTGTTTTTCTGCAATTAAAAAAGATTTTTTTAGAACCGCTATCAATAAAATCTGATTTTATTGGGGCGTTGCTGCCTTGAAATTATTTTAAAATATTAAAACCCTGCACATGCGCGCTGTTACTTGAACTTTAATCCTCACCAAACACAATCACGACCATTTCAAAGACACATTCTAGAGTCCTGAACACAGCCCACTAAAAAAATCCCAAACACCGGGCTGGACTGTGTGGGGCTCCCGGGCCCTGCGCGCCCCCCTCCTACCTGTAGTAGTCCTCCTTGCAGTAGATGCTGCCGTCCTTGCTGAAGCAGGTGAGCTCAGACTCCAGGTTGAGTTTGCACTCGCAGCACTTGAGGCAGCGCATGTGCCACTGCTTGTCCACGGCCAGCAGGTAGTAGCGGTCCGCGATCTTCCTGCCGCAGCCCGCGCACAGGGCCACGCGCTCGCTGGTCATACACGGCATGGACTGCGGGGTCAGAGGCACGAGGACACAGCGTAAGGACATGGCGTTTGGTGGAGGAAAATACAATGAATGGATTCTACCCTGCTAGCTTTAACATGGCGGGGGGGGAAATAAAATCCTGGAAAGCCAAATATTTTAAGAATATTATAAAAGTATGATCGGATGCAAGAGGGCCACCGCTACCAGGCACAGGATTGTAGAAATATTCTAAAGAATTACTGCAGGAGTTTAAAAATGTATTTGCAATCTCAAAAATGGTAAACATGAATAATATAACGCCAGTAAAATAAAATTACGACCTCAAAGATGCAATTCAGTAAGAAAAAGACAAAACAAACTTCCTTACGACCGCAATAAGACATAAAAACATTATTATTGGGAATATGTTCTCACAGTAAAGGAAATTGCACACCGCTATGAATAATATGAATTTCGCATTAGACTACATAAGGAAATATAATTATAATATGTCACACTGAGTACACCAGCAGATTGACAAAAAAGAAGTAGTATTTTCATAATAAAGCTGCCATTTAGAAGCATTGATGGGTAACGTGTATGGGCTTATTGAATTATTATTATTATGAAGTTATTTTAGTTGGAGGACATCCGTCATATCTGTGCTCATTTCTCATGATAATAATTATAATAATAGTGTTAATTAAAGCTACAATAACAAATAAATACAGGGCTGTCGTTAATTGTTATTTTCAAGAGGCCTGCTAAACACACACACACGTGCACACACACACACACACACACACACACACACACACACACACACACACACACACACACACACAAATGATCTGCAAATGAAAGATGGAGGCTGAATTAAAATGAATATTCTCCTCTAGCCTAACCCTCCTGTTTATTTTTATGGAATTTAAGAATTATTGGCGAGCTTTCAGATCATCCACATTTTTATTCAACAAAATTAAAATCTACTTGTGTTTTTCTCGGATCAGAATAAAAACTTGCAGCTCGGTTTGGCTTTTGATGTTTGAGCTGATTTGCCTGTTAAAAAATATATTTTCTGTCGTACGTGAAACACTCAAGTTTGAATGTGCGCTCTGCTGTTTAACGTGTGCTTTGAACGCAACACAAAGGGGATTTTTAAAGAATTAAATTGCAGCATTTTCAGAACAAATGTAACCGTTTTGTTTCTGGAATAATTCTGCAGCTCTGTGTCTGTTTATATGAAGCTCTGCTGGGCTGTGGAATAAGTTTTGGATCAAACAGTGGATGGAGACTGTGTTTGGGCCTTTTTGGAGCAAGTTTGAGAGGCGCTTTAAAAGTCCTAAACTGGGACATTTGTTGGACAGTTTTTCCCTGTGTGAATTGTGAGTACAAAATTGAATCTTAGTGCTTGGAGCTGAAAGAGTGCAGCCACTGACTGTCACATGTTTCCAGGCTGCCATGCTGCCTGCACTAACAAGCCGAGAGGGCAAAAAAAAAAGCAATCTCCCCTACCGTCTCTGTTTCCCCCATATCGATGGCTGAGCTGATCGCTGCTGACTCGCTCTTTCCTCTCCGGTCCATTTCTTCCACCACACCGTGCACGTCGCCTCCAGGGAGGCCATGGAAAAGCATCGTTGCCGCAGAGGGGAGGATGTTATAACTGTTCTCTTCGGATCTGCAAGCCAAGATGTCCATCAGAGGCAATAAACCATGCGCGATAATGCCGCTCAGAATTCTCGCTTTTTTCGCTTTTCCTTCCTCGCCGTGACAAGTGAGAAATCCAGATCAGGGAGGAAAAAATATGAGGGAAAAATTGGACACGTGTTCTCCACACTACGTCTCATCTGCCAATGGAAACCGTCATCCGAATCTCTGCAGCTCTCATTATTAATAAGCTATGATTAATTCATAAATAAACGCACAGATTCCGCTTCTCTTGCTGGGATCTATTTCTCTCTCTCAGGTATTATTTCTCTCTCATTACCAACTGCTCTTTCTATATTTTCTTTTCCATGTACGGTGAATAAACATACCAACTATGGAAGCCCCGGCTGCATGGGTCTCAGCACCGATGCCTCCTCCTTGCCTGGAGTAATATTTCAGGGTTTCGACAGTCTGCGAGGCATTGGCAAAAGCTCTTTTCTTGCTAAGTTACTGTGTAGAAGTGCCAGAGCTGAGCTTCTACTGCATCACACAGTCTGGAGGAACAAAAAAAGATATGTCCAAAAAAGCTGACAGGGAGCCTGAGCTGTGAGAAGAAGGCTTCCTCCCCTCCTCCTGGTTCAGCAGTCCAAGTTGATGCTTACAGCAGCTGATTTATGTCGCTCAAACTACTTTTGCTTTATAGCCAAAAGTGGAAAAATAAAAACTATGTATTTAAAAACACGCAGCCTTTTGCTTTATAAAATCCCGCCGGCCGTCTGGGAGAGGCAGTTTTCCTGTACAGTAGTCTGTTTGGTTAATGTTTTGTCTTTTGCCAAAGGAGGCTGCATGCATGTGCGTAACAGCAGAAGAGGAGGAGTTGGCTTCACGTTGACTGATGATAGGCGAGTGTTTGCTGGCCCCCCAAAACCGCCGTTCCTCCTTCTCAGGTCCCGGTTGGACTCTCCGCTCCTTATCAACGGGGCCCTGTTGCGTCACCACGCACCATTTATGTTCATTGGTTGCTCCGCCGCCACCGAACAGTTCGGCTATACTTTTACAGAGAGCGAGAGTGGAAAAAGCAGCAGCCCCTCTGCCTCCGTTACGCACGGACCACCACCGGCCCCCCCACTTTTATCTGCCTGTCCGGAGCTGCAGTTTTTAAAGGTCCGCTTTAAATAAAGAGAGTCAAAGCAGGAGAGAGTCTGTTGAGGTATTGGAGGGGTCTGTCTGTCTGTCTGTCTGTCTGTCTGTCTGTGCGCACCGAGGAGGTCTGATGGGACCTTTACTCAAGTGACGCGGAGAGAGAGTTCCACACTGTTGTTGCTCACAGACTCTCCATGGTACCAAAGGGCTCCGCATAAGAACCTGCAGAGGTGGGCAAAAATGTGCACCAAGTCTCCCACATCAGCCACAGAATAAATAAATACAGAATTTAATTTTAATTATTATCTTTTTAATAATAAAAAAGACAAATTCGAAACAAAAACAACTTTTTTTCTGAAACTGAACAAATTCAGATTCTCATAAACTGTATCAGCAACTTAATGTTATTTCACACTTGGCCTGTATTGTGTGTGTGGAATGGGGTTAATTTCAGCTCAGAGCTCATGTGAAAAGCTTTATTTTGCTAAGAAATGTGGCAAAAGATCGAAATTCAAGCAAGGACCTTAAAATGTCAGTAAATGCCACTTTTCTTCAGAGATAATAAATACCATAATCAAGGAAAATAACGCGAGAATATCGAGCTCCAAAAATGAAATAGAGAACTTTACTGATAAGAGAGGAAAGTGTGTTTAAACACAGCGTTAGTGGGTTTGTTTAATGCGTAAAAATCATTTAGGCACCTTTGGGTGTCATCTCTACATTTTATCATCCTTAACGCTATCTACCCAATGTATATATTTCCTAGAAGGAGCTCCACTCTCTCATTTGATGTCAGCGGCTCCACTCTTTGCATTTTGCCACAGACAGAACGAGCAGTTTGGCTCAGCAGCAGCATGCGTGAGCCTGAACTGATCCCGGATCTGCTCATCCTAATTAGCTCTCTGCTCTTAATTGGGAGGGGGATGAGGAGGGGGAGGAAGGAAAGTGTACTTCGTCATCGGAGGACGTGTTTGAGGACCAGAGGAAGGGGTCTGATGGTGTACAAAAGGCGGTGGAGTTTGCAGCGGTTGTGGGAGAAAATGACACACATCAGCGCTCTGGCTTTTGTTGTTTGAAAATGAAGTCAATTCAAAGCGGTTGCTGAGATGATTCCAGACCAGCCAGACAACATCCTGGGTTTTTATTTATAAGAACAATATTTTACTAGGCGCTAAAACAATATCAGAATAAACAATATCAGAATAAACAATATCAGAATAAACAATATCAGAATAAACAATATCAGAATTAAAAATCTTCCTCGTTCTTTGATATTTCTAATTTTCCTTTCCTCGCTTCTTAAAAAAAATACCTGTCCTGCCCCCTCCCGCGCGTAACAGCCCGCGTTTAGGCTATTGTGAAGTTTTATAGCACAAATATGATGTTAAGCTCCTAAATCCTTATGCAAATCAGCCCCTCTGTAATACCCTTAATTGAATACATGCATATTTATCATCTTGCGTTCTCTATCTGCTATAAGGCTGGGTTTATACATTAAACATAGCGGCAGCGGGCATGTCTGCGGGCGTGTATGAAATATGATATTAGGTGGTAGTGTAAGATTAAGGAAAAAATATCAGTTTGTATGTATTTGTATCAGAGGAGCCGGACTGGCTTGTTTCTGTGATTTGATTTAAGTCACATCTCAGTGCGCAGAAGAGGAGGAACACGTTTACACAGAATTTAGAGATGATTTATGCAAATGTAGGCCGAGGTCTGCACGGGCTATATATGTTGGAATATTCTCAGTAATGTGTGTTCACAATATTCACAGCAGAGGAGGAGAAAACTCACAATATGATAATTAACAGCGGTATCAAGCGTGTTAAGGCAGAGTTGAAATAGTCCAATATTTAATTCATCTATGGTACATTTATTTAAAAAGGTAAAACTGAATTAATTAGCCCAACACATCCTGCTCCTCTCTCTCTCTCTCTCTCTCTCTCTCTCTCTCTCTCTCTCTCTCTCTCACTCACTCACGCACACACACACACACACACACACACACACACACACACACACACACACTTTCCTTTTTTTTCAAACATGGGGGCAGTAGACTCACATCTTCAATGCTGAGAGATAAAAAGATGCAAGGAAGAGAATCAAAAGGCAAAACCATCAGCAGCACCAGTCACCAACCAGTCTGTTGTCAGGGAAGCATTATTTATGCTTTATACATACTGTACTTCCATCACTTTGTTCCCACTCACCCTGACATACAGTGTGTTACAAAAAGGCAACCTCACTGAGATTTTCAGCATTAAAAAAAGTTGCGCAACTCTAAATAAAAAGGTTAAATCTAGCCCTCCTCTACATCCTCTGTGCTGAACAGATTTCAGACTGAAATCCAGGAGGCATTTCAGAGTATTCACCAAAGAATGCCTGATCATTTTAAAACACATACTAATGATGAGATTAGAAGCAAGGACTTACTGCTTATTCTTAAGAAAATTAATCTGAATATACTGTATTTCATTACTACTCAATTTAAGAAAAGTCTGGTTTTGGTGGGAATTGTGTATCTTTACTTAATAAGGGTTGCAGAAAGGTTCATATTTGGTTTGGACAACATGATGGTTCATGCTGAAAAATGATATAAATTTGTCCACCGTCAGAGATTTTGTGTTTATGTCACTTTATTATCTCTGGTCTTGACAATATTGCATTTTTATATATTTTTAGGTATTTTATAAATTGCTGCCATTTTTGTTTCTTAATATTAAAAAAAACCTGTTCCTGTACTTTCCACCATGCACAGCATTATGGTTTGCATAATGGTTGGTTCTGAAGTAATATATATATATATACATTAAATGTTACTTTGCTAGGCTAGATTGATATCACATCAGGGCTGTAACCAGGACTTTAGAGGTCATGATTTTAAGTCTCCTTGCCAAAAAAGTTTTTTGTTTTTGCCAACTTTAATGTAAAAAACATCCAGAAAGATTAAATTTAGTCCACAACTTTCCTCTTATAGGTGAGAACACAGTTTGAGGACAGTGAAACTCACTAATGAGACTGTTGTTTGAGGCCATGCACAAAGGAAATACACCCTTATATGAGCTTCCACAGACAAAACATGGTATTTATTATGAGAAATATTAAAATATGACCTGATATCAGGCTCATGTTATTGTAAAGCTGTTGTTTAATTACAGCAACAACAAGTTTACAGTGCACTAATCCTAATAACCGCTATGGAACTAATAAACTAACAGTGTGAGCGACGAATACTTTGTGGAAAGCATATGCCCCTGTGTGTGTGTGTGTGTGTGTGTGTGTGTGTGTGTGTGTGTGTGTGTGTGTGTGTGTGTGTGTGTGTGTTAGGGGGTGTTGTTGCTGCTTGTCGACAACTAAAATGCTGATGCAGCTCCACTGATTACTCCTTGTCCCGTAATGATTTCCAAACGGGGCAGCCATCAATAACACAAATCTGCATTTCTCAGAAAAACATCACCCTCGTTGGGCTCCTGGCATCTTTTTGATCCCCCCACCCCCCACACACACGTTTTTTAATTGTATTCTGCATAAAGGTACAGGGGAGGCATCGGGTGCGTGGCTTTAATGGGATGCTGCTGTGGAAGTGGGGAGTGGGTTACATGCTCTCTGAGGAGAGCTCGGCTGTAATTAAGAAAGGGAACAAAGCAGAGGAGACTAAAAACACATGAAAGAGAGGAAGCGTATCACCTAATCACTGTACGTGCACCATCCACACCGTGTAAACACACACACTTTGAATGCAAGAAAGAATCACACAGTGAACACAGAACAGTTCAGACGGCACACCTGAGCCTCTCAAATGGCAGTCTCATGTGAAGCATGCAAGGAGGGCTGTTTTCTTATGGGAGTACACAATGTACACATAATGGGAGCATCAGATTCAGTCTCATCTAAACAAATGCCATTTTAAACTCTGTGTGCTAGTGCCCGCCAACCTGAGGCCCAGGACCCCCTGAGGGGTCACAAGATAAATCTAAGGAGTCACTGAAATTCTTTAAGAACATTAGTGTGCCAAGAAGAGTAAAGTGGACCTTGAGTTTAAATTCTTCTTCTTATTCTACACATAGTACTGCTTATTTGCTTTGTTGCTGTTTCTCTGTGAGTTCCTGTGGTTCTCTGGTTCCCTATCACTAGAACCCGCCCAAGTTTAATAGGGGGTCGCAAAGCCTTCTTGATTTTAAGGCGAGTAAGACACAGTGTTGGGCTAGTTATTTAAAAAATGTAATTAATTACTCTTTTAAAAAGTTCAGTACTTATTCCTCCCTGCCAACAGTAATTAGTTACACTACTAGTTATATTACTTTTCTGCTACACCCCACAAAATTGGTAATTGTGTCCCTGTCCAAATTCAACGATTAAAATCCAGTTTTGTTTGAAAACAAAGTAATCGAATATTTCCAGCAGCTAAATGTAAGTGTTTCCATCTTCCGAAATAGTTTCCTCCATGATTACAAAAATGATCCAAGTGATTGGATTGCTGGATTTCAAATTAGATGACGGGTAACAACAAAAGTAATACTGTAACTAATTTAAAAATTTTTGGGTGGGGGTAACTAATACTATGTATTAGTAGCAGTTACACTACTAGTTACTAGGGAAAGTAATATTATTACAGTAATTTTATTACTAGTAATTACTAGCAGTAAAAACTAGCAGTACTGCTCAACGCTGATAAGACAAAAATAGGCCTCAATCTCAGCACTTCATTCATTTCTGTAAGAAGAACAAAAATGAATTAAATTGATACGTTAACAAATCTCACAGCATAAGGGCACAAAGAGCTGAACACAAGCTATATTCACAGTGCCTTCACTCTCTGATAAACAGCCTTATGCTGCATTAGAAAAGTTCAAACAACCAAAGAGCAAATAGAACAATGAGAGAAAACACTGAATTTGTCAAAAAAAATAAGTTATAATCCAAATTCCAAAATATACATAGTAAAGACAGAGAATTGTATAATAAGTAGCAAAAGAATATCTCTGCTGCCCATTTCACACAACCTTCCTGCAGTTATTGTGTTCACTGT